AGCTGGTGACATATCCAACCCCCCCACCGCAGGGGCTCACAGGTGCCTCTGGGAGCTCTGGGGACAGACTCAGGCTCTGAGAAGTGGCCAGGGCTCACTCCTCCAGCCACAGAGGCAGAGAAATGATGGCAACGGGGGCCGGGAACCAGGCCATGTGACTAGGGAGGGCGACACAAACAGGCCACCTAGAACTGCCAAGCAGCTCTTCCTGGTTGAAGGCTCAAGGGTGCAAGGGGCTTGAGCAGAAAGCTTTCCCTGAGCCCTACTGTGCACCCGCACATGCTAGGTGCTTTACTGACTCGGGTCGTCCAGGATCCAGCCTCAGTTCTTCAAGGCAGCTGGCCTGGGTGGAGCTGGGCCAGAGCACTTGAAGGCCAGAGTCAGGGCCCATCCTTTTACCCACTGTGCTCTGCGGCTAAAGGCATCTCTAGCACCTCCCATCCCAGCCTGCACAGCATAGGCTTTGAGGCCCAGGCCCATCAGGCTCCTGGACTCTTGGAGCAGCCTCCACATCACAGAGAAAAAGGACAATAAAAGCTTAATAAAACCAGCAATGAATACAGAATCCGGGAACGACCAGGCTCCCACATGTGCCTGGCCTGAAGGGTCAGAAAGTTCCTGAAAACCCTCCGGCCCTGCGCGCTTTAGCCAAATCCTCTAGGCCACCCCGCCTCCCCACCCTCAGTCCCACATCCTGGCCTGGACCCGAACTCCATGAGGGGCTGGAGACTGTAGCTGTGGAGCCCAGGGGATCCATGGGGCCCAGCAGCCAGTCCGGCTCCCAGCCCCTAGATTGCTGGGTTAATAAAAAACAAAAAGATCTCACTATATATGACCAATAACCATGGCTATAAAAGCCAAATTGGATTCCTTCCTGGCTGATGAGCTCAGGGCCCTGCTCTCTCTTGGAGACCCGATTAGCAAATATGTAAAACAATTCGCCTTGAATCTCTGGCTCCAGCCAGCTCTGCCTGTGAGCTCCCAGCTCAGAAGCAAGGGATATGAAAGAAGCAGACGGGTGCTGGGACAGCAGAAGTGGCCCAGGGGCAAGGAGTGGGGACCTGCTCTGCCAGCAGCCTGCTGTGCGACCTAGAATGAGTCCCTTAGCATCTCTGGGTGGGCGGTTGTTCCACCTGCCAGATGGTTGGCAGGAAGAGTTGTTCTCCAAATCCTCTAGCAGAGGAAAGGGAGCTGGATGCCGGGAAGGTATCCCTCATCGTCCCTGTACAGGAGCTACTAGGTGCTGAGGGTGAAGCATGCAGGGTCCTGCTGTAGCAGAAACAGCTAAGTAGCCAATAGCATTGTGCAGGGTGCCACCAGCTACCCCGCGACACCGCAAGGGGACACCTGCCACTTCCTCGCTCTGGGAAGGACCTCAGGGACTGAAATCCCTCCTTCATTCCTCATCCCACCCAGCCCACGGTCTATGGCCCCAGGATGTTGCAACTCTCTTGGCCCCCATCTCCTAGAGAGATGCTGGAGGGGAAGCTGGCAGCTATGAGATAAAAAGGAGCCTAATGCGCACCCTACGCAAACCTGTGCAGGGTACCACCCTGGCCCCGCAGGGAGAACCTTAGGGTAAAGCCCTCTCCCTCTGAGAAATGGGTGAACCCGACACTCTGCAGTACTAGGAAGGCCAGTGCCAGATGAGGGAGTCAGTGCAGAGACAGCAGAGGTGGCCTCAGGCCCTGTGTCCCCAAGCCAGAGCCATTTCTCCTCCTGCCTGTGATCCTTCCATCCCAGGGGGCTGAATGATAGATAGTGCAGCTCGGCAGACACTTCCAGCTTGCAGCCCTTTTCACTTAGGATTTCTGCTCCTAGGATGATTTCCAGTTTGCAAACAAGAAAACCGAGGCTGAACAAGTCAAAGATTTATTTGAACTTGACTTGTGATAAGCTCAGTACTCTTCTCACTAGATTAGGTTTATTTGAATCTTACATGTTTGAAAACGCTCAGTCCTCCAGTCAGCCCTCCCGACTGCCACCGTACACATGAGTACACCCACCCTGGGCATTGGGCCCCGAAGCAACCTGGTCACAGCCTCGACACAGCTCTGGTGGGACCGTGGGCCCCAGGAAGGAAGGAGAGCAGGAACTAAGCAGGGGCAGCCTTTCTCATCACCCCAGGCCCGGCTCGGCTGCCTCTTCCCCATGTCCCTTCAGGAGGGGACACCCCCGGGACTCTCATTAATCCAGCCGAAGCTCCCCCTCCCCAAGCTTCTCATACCCAGGACCTCCGCTAAAGGGCAGGAGAGATCCTCAGCTTCTTCGGGGTGGGGGACACTCTCAAGACTGTGGGGCTGGGACAAGAACAAGGCTTTTCCTTTGTCAGGACTTGGGGACAGGCCATTGCCAATTCAAAGTCCTGACTTTCAAGTCCATCAGCCCCATTCATTCACAGATTTATCAATCTATCCTTCCATGCATCCACCCCATCTAACTACCCATCCTCCCATCCCTCTGATCACCTAGGCACCCATTGCATTCATTCACCCAGCCACCCACCTACTGCCTTACTTCATTCACTTGTGGGTGTTGCTATGTAAAATAAGAATTGTTGCTCTGTTCAGTCATCCTAGTCTTGATTGTGTGATATCTTGACTCTTCTTCCTGAAGGTTCTGTGAACTTTGCACCCCAGATCCATTTCAAGCTCATTAATGCCCACAAATGCCTCTTGGCTGGCATGTCTCTGTTCAGCACAGATTTCCGGCTCTGCTACTCTGGGATCATTTGCTCTGAGTCTCTGGGAGATCCTGGTGGAAAAGTCAGGCAGCCTCACAGGGAATAGCATTCAGCCTCAATGCTTGATCCCAGCCAGACCAGGAGGGGTCATCTCCCCTGCTGGCTGATAATTTTCCAAAGCCCAATTTCTTTCTGCCTTAAGTCTAAGGTCTTTCAGGTCTGGATTGCAGGGAGAAACCAAAACCAACATCCTGCCTTTGTGAGGTCTCGAGGTGATGTTTTAAAACCAGCAAATACTTTTCAACCAGGAATTTCCCACATGCAGCCACATCCACAGGGATGCAAGTCCCAGCTGTGTCTACAAGAGATGAAAAGGGGAAACATCTGGGCGGAAGCCAGAAAAGCCCTGCCAGTCTGCCAGATGCTGCCCACATCTGGACATCGGACAGATGATGATCTCTTTGGTTGCTCGCCAGTCAGGAAGAAAATGGCCAGTCCCCATCACCCTGTCACCCAGGATGGAGCCCAAGTCCTCTCATGCAAATTATTCAGATTACTGAAAGATTCAGATGCTCTTCCAGCTTCAGTGATATTCATCCTTTAAGATGCAAACCGAGTTAACATTAAGGCCAACACGTGGCGTTCATGACATTGCGGCCTTTTGATTGGGTTTGACCCCTGTCCGGCCAGCTCTTTGTCTGCGCCTCACATTCCCCAGCCTTGCGATGGGGACGAGAAAGCCGCCCCCTTGCCGGGCAGAGGGAAGGATGAAGAGTGATAATATCTCCAAGACCCTAAGCCTGGGCAGCCAACATTCAAAAGGTGTGGACCATTACTATCGCCTTTCACTAGGGGCACTCTCCACAGAGCTCCCAAGGCAAAGCACATGAGATTCCCTCCAGGGCAGCTGGGACATCCTGGAAGGACCGCTGGGCACTGCCTTCCATCCTGAGCTCTGCATAAGCTGCTTCTGCGAGAGCAGAGATCGGCACCTTCTCCTCCACGACAGGAACGGCTTCCCACTGGCAGGCGCGTGTCCTCTCTTAACAAGCTTTGGCAAAGGCTGCACTGTCCGGGTGCCAGTGTGTGTTGGACGCCTTGAGCAGATGGCAGGGCGGGACTGAGCCTTCCCCATCACAGCCCCCTTTGCCGCCAAGACACAAAGAGAAGTAGTGCACCTAACTGTAGCAGGGCCCCTGCCCATGGGAAATGCCCCTCCCAGCCCTGGGGTCACCACTTCCCTGGATCGTGTTCCTGCAGGCCCCAGAAATCACCTGGGTCCCAGTCCACTTGCAGCAGGGGACTGAGGTGAGCCACCACTTGTCAGCTATCACCGTGGCTCGTGGGGTGAGAGGCGCGGTGTCGGGAGAGGGGCTCTGCTACGATAGTGACGGAGACGTTTCCGCTTCTCCATGTCCCGCTCCTGGCACACAGCCGGGCTGCTCAGGCTGACGCTTGGATGGGAAACTAAAGAGAAGACCTTTTCTGGAAGATGAGCTTAAAGGTCCTGTCACCGTCTCCCAAGTCATCGCGCCTCAGTTCTGCCTCTCTAAGGGACCCGGATGGCACCTGAGCGTCTACGCACATCCAAATTGTTCCACTGTCCCCGCCAGCTCCCCGTTCTCAATCGCCTCGCTTGCCACACACACCAAAACCCTCACCTGACATCAGCAGCCAGTGCCAAACTGCCAGCGGCCCAGGCTGGTTCTCTGGGAAGGAAGAACCGAAGGGAGGAGGTGAGATGATGGAACCAAAGGGCCCGCGGGGCCAAAGACAGCGACACTGTCCCTAGCGGCTTCTCTCCCTGGCTCTGCGACAGACATTTCCACATTCAGAGCTTCAGGAATGCCTTCCCACCGGAGGCTGCTCCCAGACCGCTGCCCCGGCTTTCTTCCTTCCAGGATTTGGCAGAGACACAGATGCTGCTGGCGCCCAAGGCAGCGCGTGATGAGACTGGAGGCGTAATGTGAATAGGAGCTGCCCGTCGCTCCTCCACCCCCTTGGCGTTGGTTCCCTGCCTCTCCCTTCCTCGAGCCTAGGCTGAACCTGCTGGCTGGGGCTCCACCTGCCCTTTACTAGCCGTGTGACCTTGGGCAGGTGACTCCATCTCTCTAGCCTCGGTCCCGCCCATGGTGAAAAGGAATAAAAACACCCTGCCTCCTTTGGGGAGGTTGTGGAGTGATGCCAATGTCTGCTACGGTTACTGAGCATCATGGTGACTAAGTGGGGGGCCTGGGATTCATGCCAGAGGGGATGTGGAGGAGAGGACCTCAGCAGGGGCAGCGACAGCATTGGGGAGGTCAGAGGCCTCCCACCTGCACCGGTCCAGCCCCTTCACTGGCGCCAACTGGACACATGGTACACACTGGAGAAAGCACACGCTGGGATTCTGAGCCCCAACTCCGGCCCCAACACGCTGTGTGATGCTGGCCAACTCACTCGGCCTCTCTGAATGATCTCCCCATCTGCAGAAGCATCTCATAGCTCTGACGCCATCAGAGTTATATTTCAAGGTTCACAATGAGGGGCCCCAGGAGACAGGCGAGGCTCTCAGGGTGGAGGGCAGAGCTTGAGATGCAGAGGTGAGGTGCCTGGGCCCAGCCATGGAGAGACAAACTCGGGTGACAGCACCATTCCTCAAACTTCTCTGGCAGAGGAGTGAGCATCCTTTAAATAATGTCACATAATGGTTTCCTGACGCAAAACAAACAAACAGCTAGAAACAAAGCAGGGTACTAGGCAAAAGGGGGGCTTTTGCTTCAATCAGCTGTGTGACCTCAGGCAAGTGTCTTCCCTCCTCTGAACCCTGTTTTCCCACGCACTCCACGAGGGTGACCATTCTTATGCCATTGCATAGGCTGCAAGGCACAAGTGAGTGAGTGCCTAGCACACAACACACGGTAGGTGCTCAACCACGAGGAAGGGGACGGAGGCCATCAGCCTTCCCACAGAGCTTGGACCAATGCAGACCGGTATTCGCCACCCTGGGGCCACAGCTATCTGGTCTCCTGGTGGCCCGGCAGGGAATGAGCTCACTGGGGAGACTCTGCTGCCTTCCGGACTGGTCCTGGCAGCGGCGTCCCTGCCTCTGGCCTTTGTCAAGCAACTGGAGCGTGAGCTGCACTGTCTGCCCGCGAGACGCGGCTTGTGGAAGCCGTGCGTACCTGTGCCCGGGCGCACCGTTCTATTTCGGGCCGACACTGCTCTCTTTATTTCTTTTCCCTGGGTCCCGGCGCTTTGGGATCCAGCTTGGAAGGGTGTTTTGACAGACTTTGACACCTCTCCTGGCTCCTCTGGCAGGAGATATGCTTTTTTGTGGGGGGAGTGGGGAGGAGGACTCCAAATGGCAAAGCCCTCCTCCTTGCCTAGAAGGACAGACGGTCGGACCCTGCTGCCTCACTGACAGCACCTGCTTCTCCACATTTGGGTAAGGGGAGGGTACAAATGGGTGCAGGTGAGGAAACCACTTTAAAGAGGGGGAAGGGAGCCAAATCACTGAGCTTTCCATTAAAACAATGGTAACGTCATCATCTGTGCCCATAATAGTATTGTCACTATGGACCACAACCGCCGTCATCACCACCACCAATTTTGGGGTGCCTATTGTCACGATGGGCTGGCGATTCCCTTCAGGAAACCACCTCTGCTCTTGGCATCTCACTTTGCTGGTCTGCAGAGGCCACCTGTGCCGCCCCCAGGTCGTGAGGCAGTGAGAAGAAGCCAATAGGCCAAACTGCGGTCAGAGTTGTCTTCTCCCCTAGCACGGATCCCCTGCCCATGTGCAGTCTGCTTGGCCGAGCCTTAGGGGCTTGCGCGGATTGCTAAGGCCCTTCCCCCTAATCTGCTCTCTGTCAGTCCTTCTCTGGGGCCATGTCTAGCCAGCTGAGTCTGTCCTTCTCTCAGACAACCTCATCTGCCTTTGAATGACCAGGCACAGTGAAGCGGCTGGAGAGACCAGGAAGCATGTCTAAACTGTCAGAGGAAAGGGCTTAAGTCGTGACCCTAAGGACCTGGGACTCCAGAGATCTGAGTTTAAGTCTCCACTCCTCATTCATTCCTTACTACCAAGCAGCTACCAGTGGAGTCGGTGGTTCAGGCAGAAGACACTGGCTACCTCCATGGAGACTGCACTGCAGCAGTGTAACCCTAGGAAAATTATTCAACATTTCTGGTCCTTTTAAGAAAATCATCTGAACAACCCTCACGTAGGATTCAGGATGCCTCTAGCAGAGAAGGGTTCTCTAAGGGAAATGGTAGGTACCATAACCTGCAGGGTTACAACCGTGATCTTCAGCCCCGCCCCCGCAAAAAACTCACTAGAGTCAACGTTTCAGATTATTGGGGTCCAAAAGAGACCTCACAGGTCCACTCAGCCAGGCCTGTCCTTTTACACACAAGAAAGGGAAGTAGTCTGCCCAAGGGTGCACTGGAAACCTGTGGTCCTTCCCCTACCAGGACAATGCCTCTTTCTACCTGTGTTCTGGACTTCAGGGCAACAGCAGCAGAGTGTCAAAGGCCAAGCCATGGCATGGGCACCAGATTCTTCAAAGGGCCACATCTCCCAGGGCTGGGGCTTGCGGTGTCCCACAACCCTCTTCCTCCAGTTCCAGGTCCCTTGGAGAGACTGTGGGGCTCTGGGGCATCCAGCCCCAGAAGATTCCCTGGGAAGGGAGGCCGAAGCTGCTGAGGCCATGTGCCAGGAAGGGTCAGAGTGCCAGAGACAGGAATGAAGCTGTCAAGTCTGCAGCCAAACAGGCAAGTAGGGAAGAATGAAGTCAGCTGCCCTGGGCTCAGATGCGCTAGCATCAGGGTGAAGAAGGCCAGATACAGGCTAAGGGAAACTGGGGACAGAAGAGATGGGAGAGGACAGAAGAACTGGAGAGGTAGACCAGAAAGACCACGCAAAGGGGAGAAGGATGAAAGACACCTGGGTGGGGGGACAGCAGGGAAATGGAGATAGCCCAAGCAAAGGATGCAGACCCTGGTGGGAGGAGATGTGTCCAGAATGGGTTTGAGTCGTAGACATAGGGGCAGGGAGCCGGGCAAAATGAGCCTCAAACAGGACGAGACAGGCGCCTGCCTGCCATGCTGGGCGCCTGCCCTGAGCTGCTTGGAGCCAGTCTCCTCCCTCCTTCGGGCAGATGCCTTGGAGGAGCTCTTTCCTGGGCGTCTGTCTGGCTGCTTGTCCCTTAGGAGTAGGACTCTGTGCGTGCGCGTGCACGCACGCGCGCGTGTTCACACGAGTGCACACGTGTGCCTATGCCCTGAAACCTGAGTGTTCTGAGTCGTGGGAATCGGGGGAGTGCTCTAGAGTCTGGGGCTTCCTTGGTGTGTCTGGGCAGCAGCCTCAGGAGGACCTGGCATGAGATGCTTCCCGGGTCCGTCCATTGGGAAGATCTGTGTGTGTCTGTGAGCCAGGGAATCTGGGGTCTGTGCGCCTGCGGGCGGTGGGTGGGTGTGTATTTTGCGCGAGTGGACTATGAATATGTGTGTGGAATGTTTGCGAGTGTCTGTAGATGGGGTACGCGCGCGCACGTAGATGGATGTGAGTACGCGTGCACTGTAGGTCTGTGTGTGCTTGGGTCGCTTGGCGCCAGCACCACCCGCTCTGCGCTGAGGCGGCTCCATGATCTCTTCGCGGTGCTGACCCAACGCACAGTGGCTGGGGACCTGGGCCAAGCCTCAGAGGGGATCGCGGGAAGCTGGCGCCGGGCGGAGGAGCAGAGAGTGTACGCCAGGCCAAGAAGGCGCCTTCCTAGCCGTCTGCGGGCCTCCCCGGGGGAGTTGGGAAAAGTTCTCCCAGAGGCAGCACTGGCGCTCGGGACAGCGCGGCCCTTGCTGGGATTCATCTCCCAACCCTGGACGCCGCCGCTTCCATCCCACCTTCACCCCATCGCGTTCTCGGCAGGGCCTGAGGACCCTCCTGAGCTCAGCTTCTGTCGCCTGCCGGGGTCCCAGAGCTCCCGCGCGCTCAGCAGGCTGTACCAGCAGCCAGGTCCATTGGGCCGCAGAACCCAGGAAATGTCCCGCAGAAAGCACGAACGTGCTAGGGTAGGAGCTGGTGGAGAAGGGAATCATTAACCTTTCCCGTCCCCTCCCTCCGCTCAAGCGGGCCGACAGCCCTCGGGGGACGATTCAGACTGGCGCTCAACTTTTAAGGATCTAGACGTCCAACCGCCCAGATCTGCGGGGGGCGGGGCGGGGATCGGAAGCCTGGCGGTTTCGGGGCATCAAAGTCGCCCGGGCACAACGAAGCTGCTCTGACCCCGCCGGGAGTTGGCGCGAGCTGGGGCCCGACCCGGGGGGCCAAGCTAAGGGCTCTGACACCCGCGAAGCTCC